GGTACCCTCCATCCCACCCTTCACTGAGGGCACGAAACCCACCGTCCCCCTCCGTTCTGTTTCCACCCTCCCAGACATCGAGTTCAACGTGACGGGCAACTACGGCAGCCCCATGCACGTCAACCACAACGCCAACTACAGCTCCATGCCCTCCCCGGACATGGACCACACGGACCGCCGGCAGCACGACCAGGCGCGGCGGCCCCTCAGCGTGGCCACGGACAACATGATGCTGGAGTTTTACAAGAAGGATGGGTAAGGTCTTCACAGTGCCGGCATTTTGGGGAGAGGGAGGTGGTGGCATTGCTGGCACCCCGGAGGGGGGAGGTGGCATTGAGCTGGTGGGAGGTTGGGGGTGGTCCTGGGGTAGGAGGACCCCCTGCTCTCCATGCTGGCCTCTTGGGGATGCTCAGGTGAGCTTGCCCCCCGCTGGAGATGGGAGTGGGGTGGCCCATGGCGCAGCATCGGGGCTGTGCCATGATGGAGTTGGGTGCCCTGGTGTCCCCAAGGCCTGCGGGCTCTGCTCTTGGGGAAAGCTCCCCACTCCCAGCCTGTGCATGTGTCCCCCTGACACGCCACCTCACAGGGACCGCAGCCAGAAACACCCCCAGGGTCCTTCTCATGTCCAAATATGTCCCCAAAGTTCTTCCCATCTCCAAAACTCACCCCCAGGAGCTCTCACTGTCTCTAAAAAACAACCCTGGGGCTCTCACCGTCTCCAAAAATGTGTCCCCAGGGCTCTCCCCATTTTGGAAGAACATCCCCAGGGTTCTCCCCATCTCCAAAAAACCATCCCAAGCCCTACCCGTCACTGGCATGCCCCTCCTGCCCCCTCTCTCAAAGCCCCGTGACCTCGCAGCTTCTCCTCCGAGCAATGGGCTCTCACTCTCTGCGCCGTCAAGTTTTACGTTGGGTTTTGTGGTTTGGGGTTTTTTTACACTAATAATCGTGTGTTTCTGCCCATGCAGCCTTAGGAAAATCCAAAGGTACTGTATCCTCTGCAGCGGTGCTGGGAGGATACCGGGAGGGTGCTGGGAAGGTGCTGGGTGGTTGCTGGGACCATGTCAGGAGGATGCTGGTACCTGGGGAAGTGAAGGGTGGCCAGTGGGTGACACAAGCTCGTCCCATGCTGCCACACCTACCCTATTGCCATGGAGGTTCATCCCCAGCAGCTTCCTGCTGGAAGAGGCGTTTTTAGGAACCAGGCACCCCAAAGGAGCCACGATGTGGGTGCCCGCGGGCCCTTTTGGCCGTATGGGTGCTGAGAACTTGTCTCTGTGTGCCCCCCAGCATGGGCGTCAGGGTGATGGACACCTCATGGGTGGCTCGTCGAGGCACCTCGGGGGTGCGCAAGGCGTCCTCCACCCCGCCGGCTGCTCAGCCCCCCGCGCCGCCCACCGACCTCCCCACCACGCCCCACTCGCCCATTCCCGAGCAATCGCCGGATATTTCAGCTACCCCTTCCCCGCTTCCCACCAGCTTCGGCTTCCCCCCAGGAGCCGAGCGGACAAGGTAAGGCCAGCGGCACCCCTGTGACCCCAACTCGGGCATCGTCCCCATGTGTGAATCCACCAGCAGAACAACCCCATGGCTGCACCAGACGCAGCAGGAGAGGATGCTCAGCATCCCTGGGAAAGGAGCAGCATCCCGGGGACAGCAGGAGGAGAGGATGCTCAGCATCCCTGGGAGAGGAGCAGCATCCCGGGGACAGCAGGAGGAGAGGATGCTCAGCATCCCTGGGAGAGGAGCAGCATCCCGGGGACAGCAGGAGGAGAGGATGCTCAGCATCCCTGGGAGAGGAGCAGCATCCCGGGGACAGCAGGAGGAGAGGATGCTCAGCGTCACTGGGAGAGGAGCAGCATCTTGGGGGCAATGGGAGGAGAGGATGCTCAGCGTCACTGGGAGAGGAGCAGCACCCTGGGGGCAATGGGAGGAGAAGATGCTCAGCATCCGTGGGAAAGGAGCAGCATCGCAGGGAGAGGATGCTCAGCATCATTGGGGGGAGAGGATGCTCAGCATCCCCAGGCGAGGAGCAGCATCCCAGAGAGAGGATGCTCAGCATCGCTGGGAGAGGAGAACCATCCCAGGGACAGCAGGAGGAGAGGATGCTCAGCATCCCCGTGTGAGGAGCAGCATCCCGGGGGCAATGGGAGGAGAGCATGCCCAGCATCGTTGGGAAAGGAGCAGCATCCTGGGGAGAGCATGCCCAGCATCGCAGGAAAGGAGCAGCATCCCGGGGACAGCGGGAGGAGCGGATGCTCAGCATCCCTGCAGCCACCGCCACGTCCCCATCCCGCCGCCCCGAGGGAACGGTGGTGCCTTCAGGGATTTTCCGGCGGGTCCCCTGCCTGCCTCCCAGTGGGTGTCACTGGGCTGTAGCGAAATTTGGGCTGGAGGTGTGAGGAAAGTGCGAGGAATAGCCCAAAGGAGCCCGGCATCCCCCAAGCACTGGTCTGCGTCAGTTTAATTTGCACGGACCGGGTCGGGGAAATCACCTAAATTCCACTTTTCTGTCGCAAAAAAAAAAAAAAAAGGGGGGGAGCTGAACTTTGCAGCCCCCCGCTCTGTCCCGGGGTGCACCCATGGGTGGGGGGTGACAATCCCGGGTGTGGTGGGACAAGAGGGGGG